TATGTGCCAGAAACGTTGATAAAAGATTGCGTGCATACCGTCTGGCCCAGGAGCTTTGCATGGTTGCATTTGTTTGAGCGCCGAGTATATTTCCTCCTTCGTAAAGGCTTGGTAAGTTCTCTGTTAGCCTCGTCAGAAATCACCGGGTACATAGAGCAGAGAGCCTTCTGAATAGCATCATCAGTTGGGTTCGAAGTAGTGAACAGGCTTTCAAAATGTTTTGTGAAAATCGTCTCAATACTCTTCTCCTCCCTCTGCCATACTCCATCCATATCAAATACCCCCCCAATGAAGTTTTTCTTCTTTCGTTGCGATGCTTTGTGATGGAAGTACTGCGTATTTTTATCTCCATCTCGAACTTCTGCCACCCTACTTCTAATGTACCAATAGGCCTCCAGCTTTTCATTCAGATCATCAAGCTTTTTTTCAAGTTTCGAACATTCTTCCACACTACTTGTTGTAATCCTTCTTGTTTGGGCATTAAAGAGGGCTTGTTCTGTCTCTGCGATCTGGTTCTCGAGTTTGTGGAATTTTTTACCACTCCATGCTCCAAGGCTACAGGCTACTGCTGCAATTCGAACCGGGGCTGCCTCCCCAGTAGATATCTCCCACGCCTGTCTCACTGTTAACTCGCAAGATTCATCCAGCAGCCAACTTGTCTCGAACTTGCTGAACCACTTTTTCTTCTTCTTCTGGGTGCCTTTAGCAACCATCTGCGTTAATAAAATAGCAGTATGGTCAGAACGGTAGCGCACTAGATGCTCCACCTTATAATCTCGAAAGAGATTAATCCAGGTTTGAGAAGCAATGTAGCGATCCAATCTTTCTCTAATTTTAGTTTCCACCGAATTGCCCCTCTCCCACGTGAACCAGCTTCCCTTGTACCCCAAGTCCCTAAGACTGCAAACATCCATAGCTTCACGAAAGTTAGCAATCTCCCTTCTCTCTCTGACTACTCCCCCTTCTACTTCATCATACCTCAAGACCTCATTAAAGTCACCTCCTAACAGTATAGGAATGTTCTCATCAGAGCATAAGTGGCGAATAAGAGTCCAGGTTTGGTGCTTATCATCCTCCCTTGGCCACCCATAAATCCCAACAAACCTCCAAACACTACCATTATGGTGCTTGATGTCTCCACAAATGTGGTTTTGTGAAAAAGATACTAGATTGAACTCTACTTCGTACTTCCAGTATAAACATAATCCTCCCGCCTTACCCCTACTGGCCACCCCAAAAGCATTAGGGTATCCCAGCCGTTCCTTCACTTTCTCAACCTCAATTTTATTTATCATCGTTTCCGATACAAAAATCATATCGGGGGCAAATTTATTACTCCATTTACGGAGTTGTCGAACTGTCAAGGAGTTGCCCAATTCTCGGCAGTTCCAACATAGAACACTCATTGAGTGAGGCGGGATTGACCTGAGCCAATCACCGTCGATATAGCAACATCCATTGTATGAACATCAGCTTGTTTACTACGCTTCACACCAAAGGTGTCTTCTTCGCAGGAGCTCATCTCATCCACTCCACGCTTAATAGAGCCACCAGATGTTTTCTCTGTTATACTCTGCTTCGCCCGAGCTACTCTTTTCCAAGTTCTACTCCCTGGTTGCATCTCTTGTTTAGAATCCGAGGCTGAATATTGCCTTTGATCTGTGCTTTCCACCATAGAACTGGGGAGTGAGGAAGCGCCAAATACAAAGGTTTGGTCCTGCAAGACAATAGGTTCTAAGATAGAGAGTTCAGAAGACACAAGTTTCACTCCATCTTCAGTGGCATCAAAATGTTTCTGAATGATCAAATGCTCCTGGACTTCACCTTCTACGTCTTCAACCTTCTCCTCCTGTCGGGGTTTTGCAGTAAACACAAGTCTTTTACTCGCCTTTAATTTCTCAACCTCTTCCACTTCCTTCGATATCCCTTTCCTTGGCGTAGCCTTCAGGTCAATGCTCCACCCCAACTGCTCATGCCTTTCTTCCTCCGCAACATTATGGCAATCACGTTCAGCATGGCCCATTATTCCACAGGCGAAACAGAAGAAAGGAAGTCTTTCATATGCAAAGTTTACATACGATTCTCGCCCTCTACGATCCTTGATTGCCTGAAAACGCCTCAAAGGTTTTGTTGTATCGATCATTAATCTAACTCTCCTGTAACGCCCTATTCCAAGGCTATCCTCTTCAATCTCAAGAATATCATCCATACCCTCCACAATTGCTTTGACATGGGGATCAGACCTGCAATTGAAAGGTAAATTTTTTATTCGGACCCAAAAGGGAGAGTGCGTAAGGGTCACATCCTCCGGTTGCTCATTACCATCAATATCTTTCAAGAGAACGAGCATGTTATCAAAGCACCAAGGTCGTCCTCCTAAAACCTTTTCAAGATCTTTCCAATGAAAAAATTGGAAAGCATAAAGATTAGGGTTGAGAACCCTAATTGCAAAGCCATGAATCGGGGACCAGACATTAGTGATCGTCTTCTTAAACGCCTCGACATTGTATGATCTATGGGTAAGTAACTTTCCTACCAACATCAACTTCAAATTATCATCACCGTCGCCAGCATCTAGGGCTCCCAAGTCAATAGGTTTCTTTTCCTCCTCTCGAATACAAAGTCGAGAGTAAAGGTTAGCAATTTCCTCCGCCATCAGAATTGAAGATCAGGATCAGATCATCCACCACCGCTAGAAGACGGTAGGGTTCTATCACCGGGATAGAGACACGCTCTTTCTCTCTCGAGAGAATTTGCCCTTTCTTTCGAGGGAGTTTGATTTAAAGTTTGTATTTTATTTTTGACATTATGGGGATTAGGCTGAAATTTTGGGTTTATGGGGTTAATCTGGTTTATCAAAACCTATTAGCTACATATAGTCATATACACTTTTAATTAAAACCCGAGTTAAATGTCTAAGCAAAGACAATCAACACATTTCATAACATCAAACGAAACTAGAGCATCACATTTTTCATAAAGGTTCTATCGACAATTCAAAAAAAAAAAAAAAAAAGGATACAAATCATGGAATGTATGCATAATCCATATAAAAACAGCAAGATAGATACATGTGACATGTCAATAAAACATATCTAATATATCACTCTTCATCATCTTCCTCATCATCACTTGCCAAAAGAACAAGGGGACCTTGCACATCATCATCATCATCATTCCAAACTTGAAGATTCTCTTCGCTTAGATCAGATTCCATTTCACCGTCCTGTGAAATGAATCTGTTGGGGTTGAATGTTGACCGCTCATGTTGTAAGACATGAGCCTCCAACTGGGCATGATTGCCCCTAAAACTACATTCCCTGCAGAAAGTTCCCCAATCGGCATCACGATTACCAATTACATGCCAGTCACAATCACGTTGTGAGGAGTTCCAAGCATCAAGTTCATGTTGTTCTGCATCCCTAAAGACTATACCCAATAGAATTCCATGACATCCAATTCTACGGCAAGCACCAAATTCCAATCTTCCGAGATCTCTGTTCCAGTAAGCGAATGATAATATTCGGGAAAATTCTGCAACACAACATCTCCTCTCCACGTACGTAAGTGCGACATAACGCATTGGAACAAGCTAGCTTCTTGGCATTGTGTGGTACATGATCACAAATAAGACACCTTGGAGGTTCCTACATTTCAACATTCGAATTTGTTATTTTATTAGAGAAATAAATCATGTCTATTGGGATATAAGCAAGAAGCCTGATATACAAATGATAGAGATTATAAATAATGGAGTATGGAAAATATGCTTGCCATTATTGTCATATTCATACCTCGGCCATCACCAGTGAAAAAGTGGACAATGTAGAGTCACCTGGTTGAAATCCTATATAATATTCATAAATAAGTATCACTAACTCAATAGAAATCATGTAACTTACTGTTAATTAGATTTAGTATATAATATCAAGTAATAAGCAATTATTAGCAACACCACAAAGAACATATACGCACAAAGAAACACATACATTGACACCTCTTTCAAGCATTTCATCAAACACTTGTGTGCATCCCATAATTGATCATTAATAATATAAAAATCCAATAGCAATCACATAATCCAACCGATTCCAAAATTAACCCACAAAGCTTTTTGCAATCAATTATCGACCCAGAATCCGAATTAAGCCCACCTTCCAAAAGCCATTGATAAGTTTGAGATTTGGGAAGATAATTGTTATCTTGATGGTGATTATGTGATTTCAAAACTAACCTAGTTGAAACTAATGATATAAAACAGTGGGAAAATGAATTGGATCATTAGAATATTAAGTTGAAAGGGAATGAAAAATTTGTAGTGAATGTATGTGTTACCTGGAAAGTAGAAATGGAGGGAGTGAAGCAAGGAGTTGGAGCTTGAACAGCGTAGAGATGTAGTCACTCAAATCTGTTTGGGGGGAAGGGGACGATTTGGGGTCAAGGACTAACAATGTAGCAGACTATTTGATCAAGGAGGCTAGATGTAATTTGGATACTATGTATCAAATTTGTGTTTTAATTACCCCTCCCATCATATGTATTAGATGTGATCAACTGTGATCTGTATTAGAGGTCCTAAATAGTAATTTTTAGCCCATAATCTAGTGAGTACATTGGGTGTTGTCCAAGGTTGATTCTGTTGTAGACATGCAATATAATCGATAAATTTTATTAAAGGTTTTTCAAATAAAGGATTATATGACCATATTTAACATTCAATCCAAAAATTTATCCCAAATTTTTATCAACTATCTAGGCATCGCTTAGGCATAAAACTAATATTGTTTAGTTTTGGTCTTAAAACCAAGATTCAGGGTGATTTCCATATAAAAAAATATGTTGAAATATATAATATTCCACAAATGCACAGCACCATAGTTTATTTTCTTTCTACAGTCCACCTCATCAATTTTTTTATTACTTTTAAAATAATTATTATTTGATGCAACCTAATTACATACGGAGTACTAAGTAATGAAATAAGACGACCTATATAAACAAAAAGCTTACCCAATTACTCTGATAATATTAATTGACCCTCCAATTCTCATCCTAGTCCTTAAAACAAACAACGATCAGGCAATTTTCTTTTAGGCTATTAATTATAATTATATTGTTGCCAAGTAGAGAAGAGATTGAAGGAAGAAGGTTCGATATTTGTGATTTCTGATTTCTGATTTAGGGTTTCTAAAAGGAAATTAATCGTCGAAAATGGCGGCGTCGAAATCTAGGGTTCCATACGGTTGGCCGTTTCAGAGGAATCCTGAGGTTTACCGTCGTCCTTCCTCCATTACCAGCACTTCGAAGCAGCGATACTTTTCAATTTTGCATAATCATTCTATCTCCATCTTTACGTACGATGATGATTCTGATGCTTTTTTGCCTTTGTACAATCGCACTTTCAATGTATGTATTAATTCATCATAATTTTATTAGTTGGTTGAGTTTAGGTTAAAAACCCCTAATTTATATCTTGCTTCTTTGCATTTGTAGCTGATGAAGAATATCGACGGTATACGGTGGTCTCCCTTTGGATCGTCGTTGCTGTGTGTGAAAGGGAATCACTTGTTCGTCTTGCTTACTCAACCTTCTTTTCAGGAATTTAAGTTTTCTGTGGATGGACAGGTTTTTTCTTTCTCACCAGGGGTCAATTCCATACTTAAGTCGGGTTCGAGTAGGTCGGGAAGAGTCATGTTGAATTGAGTCGAGTCGGGTGTATTTTAAATTTGAGTGATGTTAAATTATCTTGTTCGAAATTTAGAAATTATCATTATTTTACCAACACCGATGAATTTTTTGCAGCTCTCTGCACCTGAATTTTCGGCTAAGGAAAATTATATAACTGTCATGTACTGGTTGTCACCCACCCAAGAAGTTAGTAGTAATGTTGTTTTCGAAATTCTATATGTTTTGTTCCTTTTACATTAGGTGACATTGATCTGATATCGATAGTATGTGTTTGTTATGGAATCATAATTTTATTTATATGATATGAAGTTACAAGTTTGGGAGGCCAAGACTGGAAAGATCATGAAAAGCTTTGGCAATGCAGTTCCTCAGGAATTTTGTTCAGCTCGACCTCTAGATTACATTAAGTGAGTCAATTTCGATGCTAGTTTATTTTGTCTACTCAGTTATTTTTGTGATGATTGAATATTCCTGCCTCATGCTTGTGTAGATGGGAATACCATGATAACTATTTTGCCGCCCTAGTAGGATCCAATCGTATGGTGACTATCTATGAAACCAAAACATTTTCTCGTGTTAAACATTTGATGTTCAAACAAGTACGCGAGTTTGGTTGGTCACCTTCGGCATCAGTACTAGCACTCTCTGGTGACTCTTATGTAAGATCGTAGAATTACATATATACATCTTGTATTTTTATAAGGGTTGTCCTTGAGCATAATTACATGTAATGACTTGCAATTGCAGATGAAAATTGTTGATATATGCAGTGGTAAAAAATTGTATGGTCATTCTTGGGAAGGGGTGGATGATTATAAGCTTTTGTGGCAAAGTGATGGAGACTATCTTGCCTGTATATGCACAGGGTTTAACTACAAGAAAATTTTTCTGATAAGCCTTAAGTCTGGAAAGGCCGGGTTCATTTCTCCTCACCATGATTACATTGATCTAGCTTGGGAGTGTAATGGGAAACAATTTGCAGTTAGTCGCGGAGCTGATAATGCAGGGCAAACCACAGTAACCTTTTATACTATGAACGAGGATAAAAATTATTTGAGGCAGAGGACCAAAAGTGTAAGTAATATGATTGCACATTTTCTCTATTGGTCTCCAAATGGTAACTATATGGTGATGCAAGGACCATTAAATGGTTCCGGAGAGTTGTATTTTTATGATGTGATAAAACATCAACAATTGGCCTTTGTACACTTCATTGCTAGGAATCTTCAATGGGATGCTAGTGGCAGGTGGGTTCTTTTTCTTTAGTTAATTACTGTCTTTAATCTTTGACAAAACCTTTGTGTGTAATTTGTTTTTTCTCCTCCACTGCAGGTTTTTCTTGACGCGGGCTACTCGTAAGAATTGCGATGAAGTGGTTCGGATTTGGTCTTCACACGGGGAGAAACTTATTGATGTTGGTCCGTTCGATTATCATATGGTAATGAATTAATATCATGCTGGCCATAGATAGATTTGATTTTAAAACATAACCTTATGAAGTACATCTTTTGTTTAATTGTAGTGCTGGAGCAATAAAGTGTCACTTGTTGCCGAGAGTGCTAAATATGATGATTATACAAATGAGTCGTCAAGTATAGGTATATGTTCGGGGATGGTGAAAGTATCCTTGGAAAGAGACCGATAGTTGATTCCACTGCCGATCCTCCTGAGTAAGCTGAAAAGGAAGCTTTGATCATGGATAAATGTATATGTTTGGGGTGGTGATTTTGAGCACTCTTAACTGCTTTCACATATCTTGTAGCTTAACTGATGTGCATTGTCATCAAGCGCTAGGGATTTTTTTTCCCTTCTTTCAGTGCTATATATGGACTAATGACTATGGAGTTCTTCAATTAAAATCTAGAATGTATGATTTTGTGAGATTTGACTACTCAAATCATCTTTTTAATTAAAGTGATGAAATTTGCTGTTTGTTTGGTTGAGCATTTGAGCTTGTGTTCTTCTATGCAATGTGGGAAGGGAATGTAAGATTTGTGGATTACAGATAATGAATCTCATGATTCAAAGAGAGTGTACATGTTGCTGGAGTTTGATCTGGATTAGAATTTGTTTGGCAGGTGGAATTGGGAATCAAATGGTTTCTGATGTTTGTATCAAATCAATTATTAAAATCTAGAAACTTAAGCCTATTATGAAAATCTGAAGAACAAAGAATAATGGAATCAAATTTAAAGAATGGAAGGCATGCTCAATGTGTTGGTACTGGTTCCCCTATTTACTTGACTTTTGTTCCACTATTTATGTTGATTTAATGAGGGTGGTTTCATTCTTTCCTCCATTAAAGCCAGTTGTAATGGAGTTTTTCCCATCTTTCTTTTTCCAAAACTTATTGGATTTCTCCTAAATGTGATGTGAGAGAATCTCGAATGAATTGAGATCACTATGCTTAGTTCACATTCCTTATCTTATTTTGGCTTTGATTATTTTAGGTTTTTCTAATTTTATGAATATTTTAAATTTGGGGTTTCCGTTTTACATTACTCTTACTTTTGATCCTGTACAAAGCAATTAAAATTAAAATTTTTCAAGAACATCCGAAGGAAATAGATTATTTTAGGTTTTTCTAATTTTATGAATATTTTGAATTTGGGGTTTCAGTTTTACATTACTCTTACTTTTGATCCTGTACAAAGCAATTAAAATTAAAATAATTTAAGAACATCTGAAGGAAAGAATTGAATAAAGCATTTGGCCATGAGCAAAAACCAGCGATTGTTAGGAGCAAAGGTTATAATTATGTAATTGGGGACCAAACATCTGTTTCCACAGATGATATTTTACAGGCAATAGAATAGCAGGTAGTGACGACAATCTCCAATTTTGAAAGTTTGAAATCCAAGGTCCATGAACTTGAATTAGAGGTTAATAAGAGCATCAACTCTAAGCAAAAACTAGCAAAGCTTAAAGAGAAATTACTTGATTTGGAGGGAGGCGTGCAAAGAATTATTAAGAATTTGGGAGGTGATGAAATTAATAACTTGAAGCCTCTTGCTACAAGTGATCTTATACAAGTTATGGAGAAGATGGTAATGGTTTTTAACTTTGGAATGTGAAAATTGAAAGCTAAAGACTATGAACTTGGCTCAGAGATCTGGAAGGACAGTGATGAGCTAGAGTTGGTTGAGGTCAAGGGTCAATTAGTTGATCTTGAATCAGGTTTGCAGAGGATCATCCATCAAATCAAAGGCGATGCAATTGGGGACCAAGGGAAATCCCTACAAGAGATCTTTTACAATTGTCAGAAAAGATGGTAATGGCTATAATGACAGAGTCTGAAAATTCAAAATCCGAAGTCCATGAACTTGATTCAAAGTTGTATGGAAGTCAAAAGGTTGTGGATGAATTATTATTGAAGGTGAAAGAACTTGAAGATTCACTTCAATCTAGGGTAGTTCACCCTGATACTATCTAGAAAAGGAGCCTTTTTGATGCAGCTTCACTACCTTCAGCAATCTGAGTCCAATTTAGTCATCACTAATTGGGCTGGTCCAAATGATTTAAGTACAAAAGCCCAAAAGCAAGGTTCAATTCTCCAAAGCATGCTAAGTCACCCAATCAGCATGGAAAGCCTATCTGACCTGTGACCCGCACCTCTATTGAGCAAGGTATAAAAGCCTTCAATTGTCTCATTTATCATTCATTCAGAAATATGCATAATAATCCTCAAACAATTAGTTCTCTTGCATAGCTTTCTCTCTTAATAACCTGAATTTAGCATCGAAGGGGTCTTCCTCGGCACCACCCCCGAGGCTAGTTTTTGTGTGTTTGCTGTGCAAGAAATCCTCGACCCAGTCTCTACTTGGACCGAGATAAGTCTTCTCCCACCGAAAAGGACATGCCGAAGGTCTTATTGTGTTCATTCCAAAACAATTTGGGACCATCTGTAGGGAGGATACATCAAATTAAGCCAAAAATCATCCAATCTTAGCAAAAATTTGACTAAGAGTGGTAAAAGTGCCAAGAGCACTATTAAGAACGGTCCTCCCTCGAGGGGAGATTTGGTTACGGTGCAGAGTAATCCACCCACTGTACCATCATCTGAGCCATCCTCATCCTCTTCGAAAGCTCCCCCTTCCCCGGAAAGGGTAGCGTCGGAGAGGTCACCAGCTCGTCATACTCGCCAGCCGAAAAGCTTGTCTAGGCCGAGTCATGCATATGGAACAAGTCTTCCTCCAAGCTTGCACTCTCAATCGCAGCCGAGATCAACTCCTCAAACGGGGCCCTCTAAGAAGGAGATGGCAAGAGTCGTTGCGGTCTTCATGGAATTCATGAAGGCCCAAGTAGACAACTTGCCATCAACACCCCATGATCCCTCACCCCTTCAGCCAAGAAACCTTAGAAGGAAGATTGGACAAGAGGAGGATGGACAAGCTCCATCCTTCAAGGAAGTCGAGGACCAATGGGAAGAGGACACCCGGAGAACCGAGCGGGAAAGGAAAAAGAACCCCCAGTTCTTTGGAGATTCCAGAACCCGAGACTCCAAGAGTTTCAGAAGCAGCAACAACATTTCAACGTGGCAAGAGCATGCTCACCAAACTGTTCAAGAACGTCTAGGCTCGAAGGAAGTGATCGAACGTGCATAGCCGTCTCACTTACCCAGAGGGAATTGAACCCTACCCTGAACCGTCTCAGCCGAGGACGAAAACCACTTCCACCTCTATAAGAGGGAGAAGAGAGGTCCTTCCAGCTATACACAAGGGGAAGGCCATCATGGTTCTTACAAGTTCACCCTTCTAAAGCTGGATATTGGAAGAGCATGTGGCAACGATGAAAATCCCGGCGCACATTACTTACGACGGTACTTCGGACCCGAAGGACCACACTGCCTCTTATGAGGGGCACATGTACCTTAATCCCCGGTCCGAAGCTACCTGGTGCAAGTACTTCCCAACGACTCTCAAAGGGGTTGCTCAAGCTTGGATCATAAGGGGGTGAAAGAAGGCTCTATAACCGGTTGGAAAGACCTTTCCAACAAATTCAAGAGCAAGTTTTCTATGGAAAATTGCCGAGAGAAAACAATTGCATAGCTGGGTCTGCATCAAGAGGAGGATGAAAGCCTCCGAGACTATCTGACTCGCTTCAGCAACGAGTCATCCCGAATAACAAGTCTATACCAGGGCCTACCCGTGTTTGCACTACGGAATGGCTTATAAGCTAGAAAGTTCCCTAACTTCATGGTCATGCATCCCCTGCAGACCTTAGAGGAAGCTTTGGACGCCTCGAATAAATACGCCGAGCCGAAGAATGGAACAAAGCAAAATCCCAGTCCCAATCTGGGGCTGGGAAAGCAAAGGGACAATTGTCCAAAGACCAGGGGCCGAGGAAAGGGAAGGCGAAAGCCTCAGAATCGTCATCGGCGCCTGAACCGAAGAAGGAGAGAGACCCCCCTACCCGGGTTGATAAGATTCTTACACCCCCCTCATTCTTCCTCGTGCTAAAATCTACAGCACGACCAAAGACGAGGTGAGGTTTAAGAAGCCAAGGCCACCCCCACCATGCCATCAGAAAAAGGGCAACGACCGATGGTGTGAGTTTCATGAATCTGCCGGACATCACACCGAGGACAACCTCCAGCTGAAGGATAAGATCGAGGACATGGCTCGAAAGGGCTACTAGAAAACATATCTCGCGGATCGCCGCGAAGAGAAAAGAGCCGAAAAGGATCTTCGGCAAGATCTAGATTTTTTCCCAGAAAAATGACAAGTCTCAGGGAAAAGAAACTCCTGATATCCTTGTCAATTCCGGGGGAACCTCTCGGAATGCACTGAAACGCCACTTGAGGGGCTTGACCCATGAGGTGAATCATGTTAACATCTGAGCATCCCATTCTCCGATTCCGAACATCCTATTCACAGCCAAAGACTGCCGGGGAGTGGGGTACCCCCATGATGACTCGTTGGTAATTGTGACGGGCATTGCAAACCACAACGTCTGGTGAACTCTCGTCGACGGCGGTAGTGGTGCGAATATCCTCTTTCGGGGAGCATTCGACCAGATGAAGTTGGAGACCAAGCACTTGACTCCAGTACCCTTCCCGGTATCTGGGTTCAGTGGTTCTTCATCATATTCGGATGGGAGATTCTGCTTCCTGTCACTATTGGCAAAGGCCGAGCAGCCCAGAACATCATGGCAGAATTCTTGGTCGTGGACGTTCTGTGGATGGACAGGTTTTTTTTTTTTTTCTTTCTCACCAGGGGTCAATTCGATACTTAAGTCGGGTTCGGGTAGGTCGGGAAGAGTTACGTTGAGTTGAGTTGAGTCGGGTGTATTTAACGTTGAATTTAAAGTTGAGTGATGTTAAATTATTTTGTTCGAAATCTAGAAATTATCATTATTTTACCAACAACGATGATTTTTTGCAGCTCTCTGCAGCTGAATTTTTGGCTACGGAAAATTATATAACTGTCATGTACTGGTTGTCACACACCCAACAAGTTAGTAGTAATGTTGTTTTTGAAATTCTATATGTTTTGTTCCTTTTACATTAGGTGACATTGATCTGATATCGCTAGTACGTGTTTGTTATGGAATCATAATTTTATTTATAGGATATGAAGTTACAAGTTTGGGAGGCCAAGACTGGAAAGATCATAAAAAGCTTTGGCAATGAAGTTCCTCAGGAATTTTGTTCAGCTCGACCTCTAGATTACATTAAGTGAGTCAATTTCGATGCTAGTTTATTTTGTCTACTCAGTTATTTTTGTGATGATTGAATATTCCTGCCTCATGCTGGTGTAGTTACTTTTCTCTGGATCAATCTCCAAATCTCTCAGAAACTGGAGTAAATCTCTGTTACTCACTGTGAGAAACGTTTTTGTTTCTCACAGTGGCAGTTTCGTAAATAAAATGTACCGCCGTGACTAATGTGGTACAATTTTATCATCCATTTTGTAAATAAAATGTACCACCGTGACTAAAGTGGTACATTTTATATACGAAACTGCCACTGTAAGAAACAAAAACGTTTCTCACAGTGATGGTACTCTGA